TTTTGGAAAATTAAATAACACGGTAAATATTAAAATAAATGTTACAAATTTTGTTTCTTTTTTACTTAATTACTTTGTTTGAAAAATGTATTTTTTTAATAATGGATTTTGTTTAACGTTAATATTTTTTATGATTATTGGCAAGTAGCGTTAGACGTGTGTTCATTTATTGTCGCGATGGTAACGACACGCTGTATATATATATAAATAAATTTGTAGAAAAGGCCCCAGACGTGGATTCGATTATCGTCGTGTCGTTAACGTGTCGACAATCTGTTCGTACTTTTTCTACAAATTTTTATGTTTTATTTTAAGTGCAAAGATTAGCACTAAAAATATTTGTAAAAAGCAATGGCGACATCTCTCGTTCGAATTATCGTTATAGAACCATTTTCGAAATTGTTTGTATGCTGGAAATGTTATAACAATGGATGCGCCAAGCATTGCTTCAAATGCTAAAAAGTAATGTAGATAAAGTACGTTTAGAATTTCGTCGGTGTGACAATCAGCTTAGTGACTAAAGCGTCAGGCCGCGAATGCCGAAGACGTAGGTTCGATTCCCACAGCGGCTACAATCTTTTCGTATTTTTCTTGCAAATTTTCATGTTGAATCTTAAGTGCAGAACTTAGCACTACAAAAAATATTAAAATGAATTTATAAGTATTTATAATAGCCTAGAGGAATATTTCAGACTATATCGTAGTAACATTATAAAGAAATTAGATAAGATTAACGTGGTTATATCGTAAAAAGCTCTCTTTTCTACCTCCGGAACAAGTCATGCTAGATGTTCTTAACAGGGATGGTAGTAGGTTTAATTTATATAAAAGTAGATGTCTCTTACTCTTCTGGTTTATTATTTTATTGTTTAATTTTAGTTAGTTTTATTATTGCATCTACCTAAAGATCTCACCACACCATAGGTAAATATGTAAATACCAGTCACCTTAAAAGGGAGTTCAACTTTGCCTCTAGGTCCTTCAAAAGAGCAATCGTATCAGCAAAGTCAGAGCACATCGGCAAAATTGGCGAGAAACTAGTTAACCTTCCTTCAGGGACTCGTGCATTCTGGTCTCTCACCAAGGCTGTTCAAGGAAACTTCTGTACACCATCTTTTGCAACTATGCACAGGGGAGTTGATTCGTTAGCCCACACGCTGAAGAGAAAGACGAAATTTTGGGCACTCTCTTCGCGTCTAACTCGACACTGGATGATAAGGGAAACACACCGCCGATTTGAGCACACAATGCCAGAAATAAGGATTCTGCTGAGCACGGTGCGTAAACCACTCTTCTCCTTAGACATCCAAAAGTCGAGCGGGCCAGACGGAATATCTCCCATTGTGTTAAGGACGTATGCTTCAGAGTAGGTTCAAACGCGTCTTTTCCGGCACTCTTATTCCCTAGGCATTGTCCCAACTAATTGGAAGACGGCTTTAGTGCACCCGATCCCTAAAAAGTTGATCGTTCAGATCCGTCGAACTATAGGCCTATTGCCCTCACCTCTTTGTTCTCTAAAATAACGGAGTCCATTATAAACTACCAGCTCCTTAGGTACCTTGAGGAGCACCAGCTCATTAGCGATCGTCAGTACGATTTTCGACGCGATCGCTCCGCTGGTGACCTTCTAGTGTACCTAACGCACCGATGGGCGGAGGCAGTTGAGACAAAGGGTGAGGCCTTGGTGGTTAGTTTAGTTGTAGCGAAACCTTCGATCGGGTTTGGCACAGAGCACTTCTCTCTAAGATTACGTCTTACGGGCTTCCTGAGTAATTGTGCGACTGGGTTACCAGTTTTCTTACTCGTCGGAGCATCAAGGTCATTGTTGATGGTGCTTGAGAGCTTAAACCGAGCGAGACAGTATTTCCTACCGACGCATCGTTTGCAGCTTTATAAAGCACAGATTCGGCCGCTCATGGAATACTGTTCTCACCTCTGGGCTGGGGCACCGAAATACCAGTTCCTTCTATTTGACCGCATCCAACGAAGAGCCGCTCGAATCGCCGACGACCAAATCCTACCCAATCGCCTCGATTCTTTGACCCTGCGAAGAGATGTTGCATCCCTTTGCATTTTCTATCGGATTTATCTTGGGGAGTGCTCTAAGGAATTGTTTGGGTTGATACCTGCTGATGAATTTCACCATCGTACAACTCGTCAAACCGCCAAGTACCATCGACATCACCTTGATGGTTGGCGGTACACCACTGTGCGGTTTTCACGAAATTTCCTACCCCGCACAGTTGTAACCAACGGTATTTCCAGACCGATACGACTTAGGGACCTTCTAGAAGAGAGCCTACTCCTACCTTAAAGGCCGTCAACGCAATTGCGACTCAATCGATGTTGCAAATGTCCATGGGCGGCGGTGATCACTTATCATCAGGTATTAGAGGAAATGATAAATAAAGATGAATTAATAAATAAATGTCCCAGGAATGCAGCTAATGCCTTCAGATTTGACACTAAACTAGACTATGACCTAAAATACAAAATTACAGAATACTCATAAAATTGTCAAGGTCGTTCATTCTTAAATAAATCTTACGTTTATTGGCCTTAGTGTTGAACAAAGTCATAAATATTTAACAGTTACCTCTTCTTAAGTCCATAATATATATAATACGGAATTAAATAATTTCTCCATTGTACGTATTTTGTCATTCTAGTCATTGGGCTGTTAAATTCCAGTCACGTTCGTTGAATAATTTATTTTGGATATATACCGGGACCATTGACCCCAATTCCGTAGTGCAAAATGCCGCTTAAAATAATGTGAACCTTCAAATCCAAAACGACCCGAAGGTCGCTGGTCAGTTTTTACTTTATAACTCTTACCATTCTTCCTTATTAATAATAGCCGTGATAGCTCAGCAATAGCCGTGATACCTCAGTGTCCGGGCGCTCGCTTTTAATTCAATATACTCGAGCAACCCGAGTTCGATCCCCGGTGCAGGCACCAATGAAGTTTTTAACTTTAAGTGCTGACTTATCACGTGCTCCGCGGTGAAGGAAAACATCGTGAGGAAACCTGCATATTTTCGAAATAACAACAAAAAATGTATTTCGAAGATATGTGAAGTCCGCCAATCCGCAGTGGTGCCGCGTGGTGGACTATGCCCTGAGACCCTCTCTATAGAGGAGGCCTTTGCCCAGCAGTGGGACATGTATAGGCTGTTACTTTACTTTACTTTACCATTCTTCCTTAGTTTCCGTCTTTTGCTTTCTGACATTTTTTTTTTTGTTTTGGCAGAGGAAAATGTTGAATAAAAAACAGTTAATCTGATGGTACGTGATTACCAAGACCATAAGACATTCTCAACGCTTGAAGGAACAATCCCCAGTTGCCTTATTCAACAATTGTGCGTCAAAGTGTAGGCAAACACTGTTAGACTCCATAGTCTAACAGTGTTTGCCTACACTGTTCGTGCATTGTTTTACAGGTAAGTACCATTACTTACCTGTAAAACAAATGCACGAACATAATCAGAAGTTATTACGTGGATTCCCTACACTTAAAAAGCCATTCTACCCGTAGTTAAGTACACTATTATTATCATCTAAAATTAACTTGGCTACTACCAAAGCTATCTTAGTTATCTAAAGTCTTGAATATTTTCGGTAAATGTATTTCGATTTGACTGTTAAATTTAATTACTGAAGAAAACCGTTTTGGGGCCAATATACATAATATGACAATCGAGTTCAAGGACCTCGGAAGTTGTTTAGAACGGCAGCAACAGCAATAAACGCTACACTCAAACCGTCTACAATTTAGTAATCAAACTTTTCCCATCAACGTTCAAAATACTGCGTTGTTTCTGCTTCACAAATCGCCACAATTACTTTAAGATCTCCGTACGAATATAGGTAAATTAAGTTTCAAACGATTTTCCCTGCTCCCGTGAGACTAAGCAGGATCAGACCGTTATTATACAGAAAACATAAATACGCGAATATGTAATAAAATAACATATGTAGAGTAAATACTTCATATTTTAGATTATATCGCAATTTTCTTTTATTTTCTTCATATATCTGACATTTCGCATCCTTAGTTTGCGAGTCTCATATATCTGCTAAATCCGTGTGGTATTTCCATTAATAAAACAAATTGTGAATAAGATGGATGAAATCGCTTAATTTCATTTATGAATTTTTGAGCAAATGAAATTTGTGTCATTCATATTGTTCACATACCTCTTAATCGTTTTAAAGTAAGGAAAATTTTAGATAGATACATAACTAACATATTCTAAACATTACAAATGAATTTTTTATACAAACTTGTACTTTTTACACCAATTAAAAAAGAGACCTTTTTAAGAATAATTAGATGTCTACAATTATATATGTTATACAAACAGCACGTAATATGTAATTTCCAGGAAAATTAACAGTATTTCTTTATGGAATACATAACTTCCCCATGCTAGAAATTAAAACAATGCCGACTAATACGATCCCTTATTAGAAAGCAAATAACATAACCAAAGATTATACAACATGTACTGCGGCAACATCGTTTGCTCTGCTAATAAATTTAATATTTCCACATGCAATCAATATTCCACAGCAGAATTTATGTATAAGTATGTTATTGCATGACTAGTTAGCGCTCTTAGAAAACTTTGACTACAATTATGACAGGCATAACCGTATAACCAAGTGCAAGTACACTACAGGAGTAGCATTTCTGGGACTCCCTGTGACAAACAATAAGATGTTTTGCACTCGATTCGTTTTTTTTAATTCAATATACTTTGAACTCGGGTTCAAATTCCGGATATTGTTAATTGTATTTAATGTGACAAAAAGACACATACAAACAAGCTAAAAAAACGGCAAAAAAAACTGTAGCAATCGAAAGAAGTAAAGCATTGGGATCATTATATGCAAATCTGGAAAGTAGGGAAGGACAAAAGGAGATATTTCGGATTTTAATAAGGCATCACAAGATCCCGCCAAAACAAAAGTTTCTCACGCGTTGTAACGGAACAATGAAATACTCAGATACAGATATCTTGGCGGTATGGCACACTTATTACGACCAACTGCTTAACACAACAACAAGAGGTGTTAATCTTCCGCACGAGCCCAAAAATAAAGGTTTAATACCGTCGCTTAGACCACAGGAGGTAGAAACTGCTCTCAAAAAGATGGCTAATAAGAAGTCCCCAGGACCTGATGGCATACCTGTGGAAGCCTGGAAATGCCTAGGGGAAAGAGGTGTTTATATTCTCACGCATTTATTCCAAAAAGCTATAGAATCTTCAAGCATACCGGACGTGTGGAGATTAAGGGCCATCGTTCCCCTCTACAAAGAAAAGTGCAATCGGTATGAGTGCAATAACTACCGTGCAATAAAACTAGTGCCATACGGTATATGAACGGATTATTGATGCGCGTCTAAGAGGAGAAACCTCGTTATCCACCAACCAGTTTAGTTTTGTCCCCGGTTTGTTCATAATCGACCTAATGTTTGCCATCAGCACGATCTCCCAAGAGTTTAGAGCCAAGAACAAACCACTCTATCTTGCTTTCCTTGACATGGAAAAAGCGTTTGATCGCGTACCGCGACAAACTATCTGGTGGAGTCTCCGTAAGAAAAATATCCCAGAAAGGTACGTCGTAATCATTGCTGACATGTACGGGGACGTGACATCTGTAGTCAGAACTATGGTGGGACATACAAAACCAATAGCAGTGACTAAAGGAGTGCATCAAGGCTCAATACTCAGTCCTTATCTATTCTTTTTGAAAATGGATACTCTCACTGAAAAGGCTCAAACCCTGACACCGTGGACATTTATATGTGCAGATAATGTACAATCTGTGCGACGTCCCGAGGTCAGCTAAAATTTATTTATTTATTTATACTTTATTGTACACCAAAAATAAAAATACGTAAAAAGCAAATTACAAATGAATATAAAAGGAAGTACAAATAGGCGGTCTTATCGCTCAGAAAGCGATTTCTGAATATGCACTAGGGGAGTGGAAACACCAGTTACAAGCAAGTGGCCTAATGTTGAGTGTGGCTAAAGCCCAATACATGATGTGCAACGATCCAGAGTCATTAAATAGCCCAATTTTTATAGATGGCCAACAAGTTACCATTTGTGACTACTATAAATATCTAGGAACTGTGTTGCACTATATAGGAAATTTAGAAACAAACATTCAACATCGAATTGCTGCAGCCTGAAACTACGGTAGTGAAACCTGGGCCGTTACTCAACGCCATGTCGAAATGAAGATGCTCCGGTGGATGTGCAGGGTAACCAGACTTAACAAGAAACGCAATGAACACATTCGCGGTAATCTGGGAGTTCGTGACATCGCCGAAAAGCTTCAGGAAAGTAGGCTGCGCTGGTTTGGGCATATTAAAAGAAAAACTCCAGAATACATAGGAAATGTAGTGACCAATCTGAACTGCGACTACGTAGACCATAAAACTCTCCTTCAAAAGCTAGAATATTATGGCATTTATGGCATCGCCCTCAATCTCATTGCCTCTTACCTTAGTAATAGAATTCAAAAAGTATCTATAAATGATGTTAATTCCGCTGGGTCCCCGATGAAAATGGGTGTCTCACAAGGATCAATCTTGGGCCCGTTATTATTTTTAGTATATATTAATGATCTCCCCTTTTATGCCAGTGGGTTGTATGATCTTGTACTGTTTGCTGACGATACATCGCTAATTTTTAAAGTTGACCGAAACGTATTAAATTATGACGAAGTGAGTAGTGCACTTTCACATATCCTCCACTGGTTTACTATTAATAATATGGTATTAAATGCCAAAACAAAATAATTAAACGCAGTCTTCGTCGTCCTAGCTTACTTGTATTACCAAAAGTAAGAACAAATTATGCATAAAAAAGTATTACCTTTGAAGGAGCTCAACTATACAATACACTACCTACTAATATAAAAAAATAACCGTATTTAACAGTTTTAAGTCTCAATTATCGCAATACATAATTGATAACTTTTTGCCTTCGGTTTGAGACATAAAGCTGTTAACTGTTTGGCGACCATAACATTATTTTATGATTGTATAATATTCTCATGTAAGTGACATTGTATTGTCTTGTTGGGAATAAATTTCTTTACCTCAAAAAAACCCAGATGTATTCTTTTTACCCTTCCCAGTATAAGAAGGAAAAGTTTTAGTTTAATATTAAATAACGCACCCATTAATCCAGTTGAGACTGCTGTATTTCTGGGAATTCCAGTAGATTCAAAGCTCCAGTGGAGTCCCCATATATCATCTCTTGCGAAGGTTCAGGCTGAGCTCCGCTGTTTTTGCGATTAGAAGGGTTAGGCAGCTAACAGATATCGACACTGCCAGAATTGTTTACTTTAGTTATTTTCACAGCATCTTGTCGTACGGCATTTTGCTGTGGGGTAGTGCATATAAATTCTATATTTATTCTTGAAAAAAGAGCTGTCCGAGCAATCATTGTAGATTGCTCGGACCCCGAATTCACTCAGAGATCTTTTCAAAGAGGTTAATATACTCACTGTTGCTTCTCAATACATTTATTGTAATATTTTGTATACACGTCATAACCTTAATTATTACCTAAAGAATAGTGAACAGATATAGTAAACAACAGACATAAAATAAACGCTAGAAATAAGGACAAACTTACTACGCCATTGTTTCGTCTAAAAAAGTAAATAGGTCGTTCACGGGACAAAGTGTGCGCATGTATAATAAAATCCCACAGTCGATATTAAGTCTGCCGCTTGACCAATTTAAAGGTAAAATTAAAAATCAACTAATGATTAAAGCATAAATTATACCATTTCGGAATATCTCGACGACGCCAATGTGTGGAGTTAATACTGTTGATACTCACGTAGGCTAGAATAAGACTATTATACCTGTATATTATATTGTACCCTGATATTTTTAATAAGAGCAACTGTTGAGTTTCTTGCCGGTCTCTTCTCAACAAAAACTGCTTTCCGAACCGGTGGTACCTTACGAACCTATATACATAATCTTTGATGTAAAATTTGACGATTCATAAGAGCGCGCAAGCGTCCTTTTGAATAAATATATTTTTAATTTTTATTTTGATTTTAATTTTGAACATTCCGGCATCTAGACCCAGAGCGAAGTGGAAGTATAAGACCAAGAAGGCAGACCCCACCATCAGATGAGAATAATAATTGCGCAGGAGAGAGAGAGAGAGAGACTTAATGTGAAAATTATAAAAAAATTAGAAAAAATGTGATGTACGCCAATCCGCGGAGGAATTGCGTGATGGATGCACTAGTGCGGTCTATACAAACGTTTTTGCCCAGCCACGATGGCTGTTACTTTTTTTCTTTTCAATCACTTTGTCTCATATTTTAAACTGATTACAAAACATGTTTAGCTTAGCTAGTTAATATATCTCCATTGCAAATTTGAAGTATCTTGTGTCATCAATACATTTACATCCCTCAGCTCAAGAAAACGCTTTCAGGAGGGGCTTCGTCAAATCGGCTATTGCACTGAATTAACTCCGTTTGGCCAGGCCGACCCACAATTTCGTCGCAACCGTTGATGTTAGGTATGTATTTGAGACGTAGCTACACATTTTATCCATTTTTCAAATCTAGTTGATGAATAAATATGAACAATATTAATAATCTATCAATATTAATAATTTACACTTGATATCGAGTATCACAATTATGAAATCTTGTTATCTGATTTGATTTTTCAATCACGTTAATGGCCTGATATTATTCGACTTTAATTAATCCTTATCAAGCGTGATACGAACCTGACAGTCGGACGCATATACGTCAGTAAGATTTTAACTAAAATTAAATTATTTTATTTATCAAGTGGTTTAATAAAAAAAGTTCTAAAAACCGTACAATCTGTAGATATATGGAGGCTAGAAAAATAAAAATACTTTTAGTAACGTCCGAAGATACTTGTATTAATATATTTCATAGTTATGGAAGATGTTTTAATAATTATTTTTTTCATTTGGTGACATTTCCTCGTGGCTCGAAAAAGTAGCATTGGTGGAACATGCTACCCAACACTCCAGTGAAATGGGGTTCATAATTATATATAACATATCTGTTCTCTTCGCTTGCACTAGCGAAGGCGTGATGGTTATTCCTACATTCACCGACGAAGAAATCCATAAAATAACGATTCGCTTTAATCGCATTCATTGAATGGGCGTAATTTTTCGACAATTTCCATTCAAAAGAATTCTTTTCGGGGTGAAATTGGACACCGTAGAATGGATATCTGTAAAAAAATATTTTAGACGACAGCCAAAATAATGAGAAATGATCAAAAGCTACTGTCCAGTTACTTTCTTTTAATTAATGCTTTCAACTGTGTGGGGATAGAAATATTCCCAAGATACTTGTCCTGTAACTTTAAGGCATTGAACCAAAACAGGATACTTTGAGGCGTCTGTTTGAAGATTGTGGCCCTTCAGGCGTATTAGTTTAACCGTACCAACGCCTTCCCAAGAGTCAAGCTACAAGATATTAATTTCCTTTTTAATACGTAAGTGTCAGTGAACTCCAAATTGTCCGTAATATAAACACAAATAGAATTTGCACTTTTAAATTATATTTAATTCAAGAAATTTATTGCGGTAACATATTCGAGCAAAAGTGAACCTAAAATTCTGGCGAAAGTTACATATTTGTGAGATTTGTTTTCTCATTCATTTTATAGAATAAACTAGAACTTATAATCGATTTTAACTTGTACCACTTAAATTTATATGTGGACAGGATAAAATTTAAAAAGTATTTGCGTGTGACGAAAGAAAAGTATGGACAAAAAGGTGTGTAAATTCGACTAAAACCAAAAAAATATTATACCTTTTATGTTCAATTGTTGCAATAAATTGAACTCCGTAATCATCGTCGCTATAGGATGTCACCTTCCAGTCCTTCTCCAGGTCATGTGATGCCAAATTCTAAAAGGTCAATCTCATTATATCTACAGATAGATTTGGTTACTAGCGATAGGTATTTGACATTAGCTCCATCGTTAGTTACATAGTTACGTCAAGTTTCTATCTCCGTCATTCTATCGCCGTTAATGGTTATATTTATAGTTTACGCATTAGCAGTAAGTATAACACTTCCACTCAGCGTCTCCATACGTAGGTCAAGAATTACCGTGTTGCAAGGGTAAAATTACGGTGTTTCTAGACAAAATTACGGTGAATCTGCTAAAAGTGTACCGTGTAAATTACCGTGTAATTTTTCAAAGGAAAAAAACAACATTTATAACCAAATAAAGTCTTGATTCAATTTGTTTTTTTAATTATTAGCCAAGAAAATTTAAATAACATATGAAACATTGAACTCAAGTCCCACACTAACAGAATAAAATACGCAAAATCTCTGTCTATTACTTTTAAATTATTAAGATTATTCTAAGATAAAAGCTTGAAATTGAAACAGTTCTTAGATTTAAATTTTTACTACGAATTTTTAACGCGTCGTAACTATAACAAAAGACACGGTAGTAAATTTTACGTCATTCATCCATCGCACTTACAAATTTCACTCCTACCATTATTAAAATAAGGTCAAGAATAGATTGCGTGGAGGGGGATGGGAATTTAAATATTGGTGATTCCCCTGGAATTCTCGGCAACCAGAAGGAGTGCTGCCATTAAAAAATATTAAGTTAACTGACTGAGATTCGTTTTACACAGTACAAGATACAAGACAATATTTTTAACTAGGTGATGTATAATGGTAATACGGTGATGACACGGTAATGCGTTAATACTTTGACGGTAGTTAAAAACCAGATTACGGTGCATCTACGGTAATTACCGTGTATATGGAGACGCTGCTTCCACTTCACCCTGGCCTTCTGTGAGACCGTGGTACTTACCCGGACGGACGGACTATTCGAGCAACAGCGAAGACCTAGCGCAGTGTTTCTTTTCTAAGTTAGGTCGTCGGGGTTAAGTTTACTAATTATTGCATTGATCATATTATAGTTCGTTTTTCACATCAAACTGTGGAAATAAAAAGTTGCGCCCAACAAAATGAATTGATCCAATCTTATCTGAAGTATACTCGTATTAGTTACCTCATCGACAATGCAGAATTGGTGAGCGTTGACAGTCACGTCTTCGTTCGCTAGAATGTGTATTACATCCTCTGGGGCATTAGCAAACATCTTACTTTTTCTAAAATCTGAGAAGATGAACAGAGCATATTACGATAACAATAGAAAGAAGGGATTATCCCTTTATGACTGGATAATATACGGCGGGGGTCAAACTTCTTTATACAGGTTAATGCTTTAGAGTTGATTATGCAGAGTACTAGGCTGACAATTAAGTATGTTTAAGAATTAGAAAAAAGTCTATAGGTAAACATTTTTTGCTAAATCTGTCTATAGATTCCTCCTTCATACATCGGAACCAGTTTTCGAGAATTTTATAGTCTGCATCAGTTGCTTCTATGGTTTACTCTATCTAACACTCCCAGAGTATTTTCTGATTAATTGTTTAGGAGTAATTAAGGAATACAAAGAAGTCTTGACGGTAATCTGAACTATTACAAGAGTGAACCATGAGCTAAAACAGTGTTCTTGAAATTTAGTAATCACATCGTGACTTCTTAAAATTTAGTAATCTCATCACAGCATGGCAAAGCTCGTGTGCCATACGGCGAGAAATTATCCTCTCAAGCAAAATCTCATTAAAGTTTCATCGGCAAGCAATTTATCTTGTTTAGTCGAAATTTAAAATGGTAAAAATCATTACGCTGAAACCTTCACGCTAAAACGTTGATATTTTTATCTTTTTCTCGTAAACGAATTTACATTTTCAATTGAAACTTAAATTTCTTATTTGAAAATACTCGTACTTTCAGAATAATTTATAACAGACTATTAACAACCTTACAAAAAAAGAATTCATTCTAAATTTTATACGTAGCCCTGTATACTAGTAGACGTCTGTCTGCTCCGTAATTCTTACATACTTAGATGAGTTCAAATATTGATTTAACTGGAATCCGCATTAACTTTCCTTTTTACTTAAAAACGACCTCGTATTATTGTGATGTCGCGTTTACTCACCATCGGTAAAATCGAGGGGCAAATTGTTGTACGAATAACATCTAATTCTGTTTTCCACTTCGCCGCGCCCCGACGCAAGAATGATCAGCAGTTCAAAACCAAGGCAAGTGCCGAAAACGGGAAAATAGTCCCCCGCATTATTCATTTCAATAGCCAACTCGTAGATATGCTGACCAGCGTCCGCGTATCCATTCGATTGGTTGAAAAAGGTCGCACCACCAGGCATTAAAACTCTGCAACAATATTTTCAATACATTCTGGCTTGTAAAAGCATTGAAAAATCAGAAATTAACACGGAAACATTGCCAACAACTGTATTGAAATTAGTACTACTTCCTGTTTTAACTTTACTTATTTATATCGTTACATTACTTATTCAAGTGTGTCAAGCGCATTTTAGGAATTTCACTACGAATAGAAAGAACCTAGATGAGCTAATTCATCAATTGCAGTCACATTATTTCTAAATTTGATTTTTTGTACTTATTTTCAAATAACCAAAAGTTATCTTAAAATTGTACATACCCATTGATTTTGCTCATGAGATCTTTGTAATAATCACGATCCTTTCCAATTCTGAAACATACAATTATTTGTTATTGTAAATGTGCCTTATACCAGTGGTGGATATACCAGCAGGTTAAGCAGGCAGAGCCTAAGCGCTAGGGCGGCAGATTTTAGGCGGCGGCAAATTTGGCCAAAATAGTTTTGTCTTATGACAATAAAGATATATAATATACGAGTCGTGAATATTTTGATTAAATTAACACAACGAAACCCTAGTTCCTAATCATGCTAATAACGAGAAAAAACTAATGTAATGAAGACAATAGAGTACAAATCAAAATTTAAAATTTTTATTTACAGTATAAATGTAATTCATATGATTCCGAACTATGGTATTGAATCAGAAGTAAGTAGTGGCGGAAAAATTGAATAAACGATTGGCGGCAAATTTGTAAATCTGCCACTGCTTATAGGAAATTGGAAAAAAAACGTGTATTTACTTACAATATGGGAACAACTCGAGCACCTGAAGATTCAACATCCTTAACATAGGAGGCCGCGATGTAGCTGGTGTAATTTTCTTCGGGATATTTGCCGTGTAGGTAAAATGACTGCTCTTGAGATAGGACGCCAATTATAGGCCGTTCATTAACGGATATACCTTCTTGCCTCTGTACTATCACCGCACCGTTACAATGTGCAATGTATACCGTGGTAAAAGATATAACTAGTAATACGACCGTCTTCATTGCAACAAATTCTGCCAGATTTGGTACGGCAATCATCTTGGCCCATTCAGTGGCACCAAAAATGGAACTATCAAACCACCTGTAAGAATATTTAATTCAAAGTTATCGTAAATATTAGAAAGCAATATCATATCTACACACTTAATCTTTATATATAAGAACAACAAAGGTTAAGCCGTAGATAAAATATGTTAATAAAGATTAAAAAAAAGCATCTCTGATTTACTTATATCAGCATATGATTATTCAGTCATTGTGTCGTAATCTACTTGAATAAGACGCAAGCGTATTACACGATTATTCTATTACCAAACAGATAAAGTATTCACACTCACAGCCGTGTGAAACGTATGGAAATATATTAGGCATTTAAAAAATCAGTAGATTATAAAAACCATAATAGACAAATAAGAATAAAACTTTTTTCAAAGAACTTTAAACGTATGACATGCTGAAACAATTTATTTAATTAAAACAAAACTTTGAGAAAAATAACTAATTTCAAAAACTTTAACGAGATTTTACTTACCAAAAAATCAAAAAGTTGGCTCCGTCGTTCACTAAACAAATTGCGATGTTGTGTATTATTTCAGTCTTATACGTAACTTGCATCGGTGTAAGAGTCCTACACTCTTTAAAAATAGATTACTCTCCCGTAGATTTGACGCTAGCTCCACTCTAAATAATATTAAACACTTCAGCCCATTTTTTAACTCGACACCTATAATCAAAATATTAAATCATTATTATATATACCCCAAACTTTCAAAATAAAATTAAATTCGTGTCATCTTTATTGACTATCAAAGTAAATCTACGTTTTATTTCAATGATTTAGCGTCTTATGGGTACTAATTTATACCAAATATTCAGTTGCCATTTCTTTTAATTTTATTTACTTATGCCATTATTGCAAACAAAGATGCATTTCTTAATTTATTTGTTTATAGGTGAATAGTTTAACTTTGACATTGCAAAAACGACTACAAAATCTCTTTTTCCCTTAATTAAAACCAATTATCAAGAAAAAAAATTTAATTAAATGTAATAAAGGGATTGATTTATTACTTTATCTCAACATGTTGTGATGTTACCTATATGTATGTATAGTACAGAAAAAACTGACACATTCGGTTTCGGTGGTTACCATGCGGCCATCAATATCTTATATTAGTCAGCATGGTTATTGCTATTATGTAATTTAAATATATATGTTTTAGATATTTATGTTTCAGAAGTTACATAATGTGCCAACATTAATTTATTCATATGTTGCTGTAATATGTAAATACTACGCAAATATACTTCAAAACCTTAAAGGAATACAATTTAATAAACTAAAGTCCTCGATGATCGTCTAGATCTACAATTAAATACCAATAGCGCAAGGACCCTTTGATAACTCTTTCATCCATTACAAAGAGAATGTAATCACTACATTTATGATCCATTATGTGATCCATTATTCAAGTTGACATTGTAAACAGTGTTATCAGTACCTATGGCTACCCATTTAATTTTTTTTCTCATATTGACTTTTAAATCTTTATCATAAATGTTACTATTGATGTCATGGTTCGCAAAACTTGAACAAAATTTAATTAATTATTAACTTTTTAAAATTGATAAAATTTCATAAAAAGTCACATGACTACGAACGTGCCGTGATTGGTTATCTCGTACGATATTACGTCACCTATAAAAGATAGTATTAGTAGTGCTCTGTAACCGTACTACTCTGTAACCGACTTCCAACCATATTTTATTGCGAAATAACGATTGTGAAACTTTCAGCAAAAAAAAAATAGTTGTCGACAACAACCAATATTTAACTACTAAGTAACTATTCATCTATCTAGTTTCGTGGACCTAACTGGGGTAGGGCCACGCAACAGCTTCGGCTGTTGCACGAATGGGCAGCTCCATCCGGGTAGGCACCGCGATCTCACATTAGACCGACGTGGAAGTATCATACTTCTGCGTTCCACCTGGCGAGTGAGGTAGCCAGGGCCCGTTTTACTAGTATGTGGCAACGCATCTACAACTCTACGGGCGTTGCAAATGTCCATGTGCGGCAGCTATCACTTGACATCAGGTGAACCGCCAGCTCGTTTTTCACCATCTCACATAAAAATTATGTATATAACACAAATGTATGTATATGATACAACTGAAACAAATCTAATGGCATATTATAATATATTAATACCCTTCAAGAGGTTTAAACATTCATGCATGTGCTCAAAAACATTTCCTTCCTTCGGCAGTTGGGCCAAATAACCGTAACCAAACAAGACTGTTTATAAACTACGTCTACATAACGTCCCTCGTCGATTCGGTCGAAGCAAGTATTCTATTTTTTGATAAGTTTCTTTCAACGGTTCTTCTCAGGTTAGTGGATTTTTTTCCGAACCGGTAGTAGAGTTTTTGACAATCAATAAGCACTATGCTTCTATATTGAATAAAGTTATTTGAATTTGATTTAGCATTTTAGAATTCCGGTCTCAGGGAGATCTCGCGCCAAAACTACGCAACTACACATACACTTGCCAACAATCACCAAAAAATCGTTAAGTTATCACGTGCTTAGCGGTAAAGAAAAATATCGTGCAACAGCCTGCACATTTTCGCTAGAATAACAAAAAAGTAATCAAAGATAATTATGTGAAATTCGCCAATCCGCAGTAGGACCGCGAAGTGGGCCATGCCGTTATACTCTGTTAGGCCTTTCCCCAGCAATGGGATATATGTAGGCTGTTTCTATAATTTACTATGTGTGTCCATATGCTTGACTATCAAACGCATGGAAACTAGCCCTTCCAAGAGTTCTGCCACCTAGTAAGCTTTAAATAGTCACCGGACTGAAAGCATAAATCAAACAAATCCCAAGTCAACTTCACTATAACTGGGCAGTAGTATTTGCACTCTATGCCACACATTCACGCCATTACACTGGCGTGAATGTGTGGCATAGAGTCCGCAGTAAAGCCTATGGCTGTTAACTTTATAGTTAATGAAAAAATTATGAAGAGTTTGACTTTCAATGACACAATTGGAAAGCAAAAAGAACGAATTTCTAATCTTAATTTTCAATAACATTCTTTTGCAAAAATTTGATGTACTGGTTATAACGTACATTAGCACCATGTGGACTCAACGAGCAAGTTAAGATCCAGAAACATTGATTTCTACGTTTTCAGTTATTGCTCTTTTGAATACATTTTTAATAAGAAGCATACATACTTTCAAAAAAAATATTAAATGATTCTGTTTGTAGTATTCGTAGTATACAGCGTGTCTCTACAAAAATTTTTTTTATAAATTTATCAAACACGACGATAATAAAAAAATAATCAGTAAATCAATACATATCATTTTTCAAATTTCATTGCTTCAAATGCTAAAAAAAATGTACATAAAACACTTTAAGATTTTCGTCGGTGTGGCAATATGCCGTTTAGCTTAGTGGCTAAAGCCCAATCCCCACAGCGGCGACAATCTTATTGTATTTTTTCTACAAATTTAATGTTTAATCTTAAGGGTAGAGATCGGCACTAAAAATTTAAAACATATATTGACGTATTCACACTTTTCCAAATGGTAGTCACGCACTATTAACAAAAGAATTTTTTAAAATACTAAAAGTACTGTAACACTGACGCTTCGTCGTTTTCGGTTTAATTATTGTAACATTACGTTCTCTTCACGATCTTCATAAACAATTTAACTCATTCTTTAACATCTTCGTACCACCTGTAAGCAGACGACCTTCAAATTTACTCACACTTACTTTACTACATTTATTCGTGACTTACACGTAGCGGTGTGTTCCATCAACACCGAACTCTCTCGCATATCCGAATGGAGTCGCTCTTATGGTCTCACGGTGAACCCTATAAAGACTCAGGTAATTGCCCTTGGTTCATGTCTAGAGTTTACTTTGCTCAACTACCTCCAGTTATGTTTGATGGCGTCCATATACCATACAGCGATACTGTTAAAAATCTCGGCGTGATATTTGATAAGACCTTATCCTGGAAGCCACATGTCGCTGACGTGAGTAAAAAGGTGTTTGCAGCGTATCACTCCTTAAGACGACTACCGACCAGCACAAAAATCTCACTTGTACAGACCCTACTACTACTTATCCTTGATTACGCTGACACATCTAATCATCAACCTTACAGAAGAGATGCGAAGTAAACTCGAGCGCCTCCAAAACCTTTCTTATAGATTTATCTTCAACCTACGCAAGTACGACCATGTCTCTTCTTATCGAGCTCAGTTAAATTGGCTCCCGATCCGTCGTCGAAGGGATTTTCACGTTCTCTCCCTACTTTATTCTATCCTGTTTAACCCTTCGACTCCCTCGTATCTAAAAGAAAGTTTTGGATACCAGTCCATTTCTATTTATCGTTCACTCAGTTCTTCTCGTTATCTCTCGCTTTCTATGCCTTCTCATAGCACTGATTTCTATGCCTTTTCTTTTACTGTCCAAGCTGTGAAGCTCTGGAACTCACTTCCTGTGTCTATAAAATAAGCCCCGTCCCTTTATACTTGTAAGAAGCACCTGAAAGCCCATCTCCTTTCCCTTCTATAATTTCATCCCAACGTTACTTTTTCCTCTGAGCTTTAGTTGTCAGTTTTTTTGCTACTTACACACTTAATTGTGTTAAGTTATTAATATAACATAATTTGGTAATATGCATATATATGTAGGTATATAATATATATATATATATATAAAATACTATAAAAGTAATACCCCTATGTCATACAGCAGTTTTTTTCCCTATGAATGTGGTGTTATAATTTATCGTAAATACTATTTATAAAAATAATATAAATAAAAATTTGTCGAATTTCCCGACTATATGCACAAAGCACATTGAAATTAATTAGCAACACTGAAACGACGATGACGACAGGCATCAATTCACAGACATTCAACGTCACTCAGTATGGACTATGGACATGTTTCATCTGTATTATTAACATGTTTAATTGCATTGCATAAAAACGAATACTTATCGTTATATAAGTACTTACAATTAAATATACTGAATGCAAAGAATATTTTGCCAAATTCACATAAAACCACCAGATTACTCTCCTAATCAATGTTAACCATTATTTTAACTAGTCAAAGAAATCGGTTCATTCAATGCCTAAAAACTTGTGCATGTATTTATTATCCGACTAGAAAACTCCAATCAACTGGACCTGTCATGTCCCCTAATCATATGAGCGCGCATGCGTCTTTGATAAAGCGACCATAATCTTTAGTTTTTTCATACCTCATTTCCTGAGTTGCAAAGAATATTCAATTCACTAGTCTATCGATTTAAGTCAATTAAGTATAGCTCCATTCTGAAAAGGCATAACTCACTAAATTAAAACATATGCTACTTAAAATGTCATAATATCGCTCGTCTTATATTAATAAATCCTTGCGCTATGACTGCCAAAACTGTGAACCTGCGTGAACTGTCACGCAGGTTGTAGACATTAAACTTTTAATTTGCAGCAATCATGCACTCATGATGGGATGTTTATATTATAAAATATTTCATTGCTACCCTATAGTCAACTGGAAGTTTTGTATTTTTTTTTTATGTACTATTGTTGAATGTTTATTAAATTATTGGGAAATGAACTTAGGGACACATTATAAACAAAACATATATATATATGCATCTTTCCTCTTTTCTAAATTCAAATATGTACTTGAGAGTTTTATGGCAAGGCCACACTTTATTTATTAAATACCTATTTTCGTATATAATTATGTTTATTTCGTATATTATTGTTTCGTATATAATATAATATGTAAATTTAGACAAAGAGTAATCAAGCTACCGATGCACAGTTTTATTACAAGTAACAGAAAATAAATAAGTAAGCCTTTACAGATTGTATATCTCGCTTCGTATCTCTTTTGCATTACATACACATTTTCATTCGATTTTGAAACACCGTTATGCATTTCAAATTTTTATCTTTTTTACGTTCAAAATAATTATTGGATATATACATAGCATGTAAGGGATTATTCATTTATTTTCTAACTTATAAGTCTGCTTTTTTCCTAAGAATTACAAATAATTTTTTACCACATTATCCCTTTTAGAGCTATCGATCGGAAAGCTAAGTAAGCTTGATTGCTTTTGAAGGTAAAAATTTAAAGTTGGTAACACTAAAATTTTCGTCAAAAAGAAAAATGCCGCTGCAAAAAAGAAACGTAATGATAAAGGTATTTTGATAATAACTATTTCTTTGACAACAACGCCTTTTTTTAATTAGAAACTTATTATTAAGTTTATGTTGGATGTAATATATATAGGTTACCTCTAAAAACATAACAGAATACAAAGAAAACGTTATGTTGTAGGTTGGTTTCCTGCGTTGACAGAGGAATTCGTGTATTTTCTTTTATCAGCCAAATATATTCAAGTAAAATGTTTGAAATGGTAAGTTATTATCCATATGTAACTGAATATATTCATTAAACTAAACTAACTGTTTAATGTGATACTTTTTCATTCTTTAATCATAGAATACGGCGGAACCGATGCAAGTGGAACTTCCACTCGAAGATAATGAGAACAATGAGACCGATTGTTATGTAGTTGAGAATCCAACTCTGGATCTAGAGACATATGCTGCATCTTACACTGGCTTTGCTAAACTATACAGATTAATGTTTGTAGCAGATCATTGCCCTTCCCTAAGACTGGAAGCTCTAAAAATGGCAATATCTTATGTTATGACTACATACAACGTAAGTCTCTATCATACTCTTCACAAAAAACTATCTGAAGCCATAGCCTCTGCAGGCTTGCCTGATGTTGCTGTACAGATGAATTCCCAAGATATACCTGTTTTAGATACTATGTGGGTAGAATCAAAAACCAAAAAAGCTGCTATCAAATTGGAAAAATTAGATACTGACCTCAAGAATTATAAAACAAATTCTATCAAAGAAAGTATTCGAAGAGGGCATGATGATTTAGGTGACCATTATTTGGATTGTGGTGATCTTACTAGTGCATTAAAATGTTATTCTAGAGCCCGAGATTATTGCACAAGTGGCAAACACATTATCATGATGTGCCTAAATGTAGTGAAAGTGTCAGTTTATCTCCAAAATTGGGCACATGTCCTCAATTATGTATCAAAGGCAGTTGGCACACCAGATTTCAATGAAGTTCCAGGGAAAGATTCCAACCAGTCTATTTTAACTCGCTTAAAATGTGCCGCAGGCTTGGCTGAGTTAGCTACCAAAAAATATAAATCTGCTGCTAAGCATTTCCTTGCAGCTAGCATTGACCATTGTGATTATTCTGAACTGCTGAGCAGCAACAATGTTGCAGTATATGGTGGTTTGTGCGCTCTGGCAACATTTGATCGGTCTGAATTACAAAAACAAGTCATAGTTAGCAGTTCTTTTAAATTATTTTTAGAACTAGAGCCTCAGTTACGTGACATAATTTTTAAATTCTATGAATCTAAATATGCATCATGCTTGAGGCTACTTGATGAGATTAGGGACAACCTCCTCTTAGATATGTATCTAGCTCCACATTTGAACTCTCTCTACATGCAAATACGCAACAGAGCCCTAATTCAATACTTCAGCCCTTATCTCTCAGCTGACATGCGTCTAATGGCTGCTGCTTTCAACCGCACAGTCAATGCTCTTGAAGATGAATTGATGCAATTAATTCTTGATGGCCAAATTCAAGCTCGTATAGATTCACATAATAAAATACTCTATGCTAAGGATGTGGATCAGAGAAGTACAACTTTTGAAAAAAGTCTTGCCATGGGTAAAGAATATCAACGGAGGACATCCATGTTAATTCTGCGAGCTGCCATGCTCAAAAACCAAATTCATGTCAAGGTGAGTAATGCTACTTTTTTGTAAACATAATCTCTATATGCTACCATCCAAAATTTCTTAAACAGAACAAAAGAAATCTGCAAAAATAAAATGCTAAGGTTCTGCTGTTTTGTGCACAATCATGGATAAAGTACTCTAGAAATTTTACTAAATTTTTTGAATTTTTTCATCTTAAGCACTTTGCCTATATTTAAAAATTTGACTAATATCTTCACTTAATGAGTAGTTTTTAAAATATCAAAAAAGAAAAGTGCTTAGTATACTAAACACACATCTCCAAGAATTGTTTTCTTTTGTAGAAAAGTGGGGTAAGTGGTGTGGTTGTTAATATAATAAGCAGACAAAAACACAGTCATTAAGTTTTAACAAATTCCTTGAATTTGACAAAACACACTATAAGTATCTATTGCATATTTTCTTTTATGCAATGGTGTGACTACATAACAAATATTCCATGTATTTACTGTTAAACTGGCATGCGAGAATGCTGCTTTGCCTGTATTTTTTTTTAAATATTAATATTGAAAATGCAAGCAAATCATGCTTTTGCGAAGTGCTATTTTACGCTATGTGAAGAGGGATGCCATAAAACCAGAGCTCTGAATTATATGCAGTAAACACTGACTGAAAGTTTTATTTAAGCTAATTTTAGTTAAAATATGTTTATTACCCGTTGGTCTAAGTATATGTTTTGCTGCGAAACATCATGTTATAGCAGTGCTGGACTCCAAACAAATGGGAAAATGCCCTTTGAGTCAGTCCTAAAGTTTAAGTCAGATTTTCACATTCAATTCATTATGTGTTTGTACTAACATGGTATTTTGGCGACAAAAGTAAACCCACGAATATTTTGTAGATAATTATAGGAAAACTAATCTAGGAAGACTATTTGGGAACTCTCTATGGAGACTGGATTATTTTGTCTTCTTCTTCTTCTTCATTATTCAATTCGATGGCTTTGTTTTGTTGGTACTTTTAACTTGGATGGTATAATATACATACATTTACATACATGTATATGTACAACTTGTTTATATTGAATTCCCATAACTCTAGGTATATATTCTAACACTATAAAGGAGATAAAATGTCTGTGGATCATGGGTTATATACTCTTAGTTTCAAGGATTTCATTAAATTAGTACACAAAGTATCCAGTATGGTGAAGCTTTATTTGTACAATATTGCAGAAATGACACTCATTCAAAAGTTATAATAAACTTAACAGACTTCACTTCTACACTCTGCAATTTACTATTTTTACATTTTTTTTACAATTAAATTGAATATGTGACATTGTAAAATTTCAATTAAAATTGTTTCATAGAGTAGGAAATTTAATTTTACTTTTTAATATGAAAATTTAAAATGGAAAAAAAATAATTAAAAAATGTACATATGCCATTGGGTTCATACCTTAAAATTTACAACAAATTACTCTCCAGTTGCTCCTTTCCAGACGACTAGAAAGAAACCACAGTTATCGGCATTCGCAAGCCGAATAAACCCGCTAATCAGATACGGGCTCTTTTCTTTGATGTGGCAAAGGCATTCGACAAGGTCGGGCAAAATGGCTTGCTTTACAAGCTGTTCACACTCACAGTGCCAGATAGGCTCGTACACACCATCCGGGCCTTCCTTGCGAACCGCTCTTTTCGATATCTAGTTGAGAGCACCCTCTCCACAAGCCGCCGCCTCACGGCTGGCGTTCCACAAGGCTCTTGCGTGCTCTTGTACGGTAATAGTACATAAAGAGTAAAGGTGAGAGACCTTTACTCTTTACGCTGCACACGAGCGACATACCCAAAAACCCCCACGACAATCTAGCGCTTTTCGCGGATGACACGGCGCTCTTTTACACAGATAAAAATCTCAATCAACATCAATCAATTGGTTCCGCAAATGGAGAATAGAAGTAAATCCCGAAAAGAGTGTGGTGATTCACTTCACACGAAGAACTTATCCGTCACATCTTTATGTGGCCAACCACTCCCCTGGGAGAATAAGGTCAAATACTATCACTTTAATAACGTTCGTAATAGAGCCGTAAGATGCCCTTAAGGCACAAATTATTAATATATAAAATCTGCGTACGACCTATTATGTCCTACGCATCCATGACCTTGTCCACACGCACACTACACGCTTGTACAAATTGCAAATAGTACAAAATAAGTTCATCCGCCGCGCAACCGGTGCACTTGGTATCAACGCAACGTCAACCTGCACAGCGATTGCAGACACCCGACGATTTGCGAATATTTAAAGACATGACCAAACAGTTCTTCGATAGAGCCGAACATCATCCCAACCCTCTGGTGGTAAGCGCAGAAAATTACCAACCCGACACAAACGCAAACATCAACAAGCGTCGCCCGCGAAACGTCCTCATAGACCCGGTCAAAGAAGGGGACTTAGATACGTCGGACCCACCGTCGGAGGTCCCGACGGATAACACTACACCCACAATTAGTGTAACAACAAACACAATAGTTCACCCTAGCCTCCGAGCACAGAGCGAGACCAACACAACGCGTACACAAGGTACAACCGCGTTCCTAAAAACACAGTTGACGGCTATCGGGCTCCCGGACCGAACCGCAACCGCGATGGCCCTTAACCCACGGGGTTCTGGCTAGCCCACCGGTTCTGCGTCAAATGCAGCTTTAATGGTCTCAGGACTAAAAGCAAAAACATCAAATAATACAAGATACCTTAAAAATATGGGAATTAAATAAAAACATGTTATAAATACAGGAGGACTGACATGTATTTCTTTTGTTATATTTGGTATAGAGGAATCAATATCTAATTAATAAGAATTTAACTATTTATTATAACTTCAGCAGTTTAACATTATTTAGTTTTCTCCTTACCAATAGGAAATTGTGAAAAGAAAATATCTCATGAATAATTTAGTTGAAGCCTGTTGAAATCTGTATCTAATCTTTTGTAATTGGTTATGTAGACTATTGTTATTATATTTTTTCCAATCAATGCAAGAATAAATGCTATAGTAGGTATCTGCTTTTTATTTTCAAACAAATATAAATTTAAAATTTAAGTTACATTAACGGTTTAATAACCATGTTACAGCAAAGTTTCTAGTTGCAATATTGCTTTATTATCATGAGTAATGATTACAATTTGATCAGATTAATGATATAAATCAAGTTGTATAAGCTTTATCTGTACCAGTTGCTCAGTGCATTCTATAACAATTCCAATTTCACAATTTATAGCAGTTAAACCTTACATATTATTTAAATTGATTTTAATATTACAGAATATTGCTCGTGAAACTGGTCCACAAAGTGGGGAAGCACCCGGCTCAAGTACCAGCCTTACTCCTCGTAGCTACGACCCTGTGCCCATGTGATGAATTACCTCATAAGATAGTTAACATTTTCCTTTCACATGACAATTTAAAGGATAACTAAACAATACTACATGACAGTAATTGCTCTATGGAATAGCAATATATTTAAAAGTATTTGGTATCATTTACATTATCATGTGAATTAAATCATTTTCTTGAAAAAAAAAAAAAGAATTACTGGTCCTTTTATGTATAATAATCTCTGCTTGTATTTTTGTTTATTGAAAGAACAGCTGTAGTTCTGTGTAATTTTGGCAATTTGTCTTTGTCCAAATTGCTGATATTGATTAAGGAGAATGTTTTTTCAGCAATCCCAAACTTGAGTGGCTGGTTTACGCATTATTTATATGGAATTATCTATGTAACCACAAAATATTATGTCTATGTAATTTTTAATAATATTAAAAGTAAAGCCATACTTGTTGTCTTTCTTACAAATATACACCTATACCACTTCATTGTTAAACTATGTAAGTTTTATGTACATGACCAAGTTAAAAAAAAATTATATGAATCCCTTCAAAATATTCACTGAATGTATGCCTTTAACGCCAACAAAAAATTTAATGTTATTTTTTCACCTGTTATTGAAAACTTGCCAAGAACGTTTTTATTTTTGTGCTAATAATGTTGGTTTTGGGGCCGCTTGGGTGTACTAAGCCCTAATACCCTCTGTACAGAGGAAGCCTTAGCCTGATACTAATGTGTTGGTTTTACTCTTCAACTCAGACTATCTCAGTTTTATAAATGAAACATTAACATGTAAAATGTAACAGAAACATCATCAGAAAATTAAAATATGCCTCACATCAAAGAGTAATTTTAACTGGGTTTTGAAGTAGAACAATAAATATCAAATGGACATATGAATATAGTTAACAGTGAGGTTTCTGACATTTCTTGAAGAAAATGTAAACAATAAATCGAACGAGAGATGTCGCCGTTGCCTTTTTTTAGTAATTTTAAATTATTTATAGTGCTAATCTCTGCACTTAAGATTAAACATTAAAATTTGTAAAAAAAATTTTCAATTTTATGTTTTTGTCCACCTTGCAATCCTTCATTTTAACAAATAATTATAGATTCCGTGATAGAATATATGTATATACATTTATAATTATTTTTAGAACCAGTTTTCTTCTTGTCCATTTTTAGTCAGCAGCAAATATAATTTGTTTAATGCTTTTGGATCATTTATATTGATGAAGAATTTAGAAGTTATTGTGTTCCAGTATAGAAAAATTGTCTAAAAGAAATAATATATAGAGGTAATATATACACTTACATACATCAATTTTTATTAAAAATTCTTACAGATATGTCTAATTTTTGGGCATATCATAATGAATTTATGTTTATAAGTTATAACTAACCTTATGTCATAAAATACATTACAAAAAAATTCAAGCCAGCATTTTTGTCTATTATGCAATATGACAGAAATATATTGGAAATTACATTTATTGTACTTCGGCTTCTGTTATTAACATATTAGGAATGCCTTTAGAAATTGGAAACTGTCTACCGGACTCGGGACATGTGAGATAACCTTCTTCAATTTCAACCTCTAATAGGACCTTGTGGGCTTTTCTTAAGAACTCTTCATTGTCTTCAAACTTAGGATCTATTGTTTGAGGTAATCCTTCATTATGTCCGATACTACCTGCAGCTTTCCAAAGAACTTCCCAATCTAATTTTGGTATTATACGAGTTAAAAATTCTGGATTGAAGTCAACTTCTGATACCTTTACAACAGATGCGTTGATAGAAAGAGGATATCCAGTTATAACTCCCTTTAAACACTTCGATGTAAGCATGTTATGAGTTATGAGTTTCATTTCTATTAATTTATAATAACAATGAATTCTGTCTATGTAGGTAGTTACTGCTGTTTTTCTGGCTTACGCTATCACACGCTTGACGCTATCATGACTTGACTTGACAATTGACATTAATAATTTAATAATATTGATTGACTTATTGCTTATTGACAATAGAGTCGCCGAAAAAATATCGACTATCGATATTTTTTTTTGAAAATATATCGATATTTTTGGCCGAGATATTTTGATCCGATTTATCGATATAAAAAAATGAATATCAAAAACGATTTTTTTTATTGAAACTGATTCAAAGGCGAATAAAATAAAAATGAACGGAAAAACTGTGGTCTGAGTATTGCCGTGGAGACAGAGTTACATTTTGTTCCATAATTATGGTATTTATTTATTATGATGCTTCGTGCTATGATATATATATATATATATGTATATATATATATATATATATATGTATATATATATATACACATATATATATATATATATATATATATATATATATATATGCAGATAATATAATATCCGTATCTTAGGTAAAACATGGTCTACAAATAATTAATATTGAACTACATAATATGTTATTTTATAAATAGCATGCAAAATATTGATGGTATCAGCTGAAGTTACTTTAATTTAATATGTAAATAAAAAAATTATTACAGTCAGGGTCTCATTATTAAAGGTAACATAATATAATATAGAGTTTTCATAAACAATTATTTGACGTCATAAAAATTATTATCATTTAACGATATAAGTAACTTATTTAAATTTTCATGCAGCATTTTCATATTAAACAACTTTTACTAAACAACTTGCGGGTTTCTTTTTGACCCACTTTATTTTAAACAATTCTTTGTTTTTTACAAAGTTACATGTTTTTAATTAGTCATTTTTTGATTCCATTCAGGGCTAAAGAAACTGAATTATTCACTAAATAAACTGTATGTTTTTTCCCAATGAAGGTGTTGATAAATAACATACGTCGTGGAAGCAGGTGTTCGAGTCTAGAGTAACATAGTTTGTTACCACGTGAGCGGTCCAAGACGCGAACAAGTGTATGTCTGGTGTCCCCCAGAGGTTGAACAGCCTCGTGGTTGCTTTTTTCTATGAGATGCCACTTGGAGCCGGCGCGATTGCGCGAGAGGTGGTCGGCTTCGAGGTTGTACAGTCCCGGTAGGTGGTAAGGGAGAAGTACAACATTGAGGTGGTCTGTTAGGGCCAGTAGTTTTTGAGTCAGATATAGCAAATGTCGTGACCGGGTTCCTCCCTCGTTCTATGTAGGAAACTACAGTTTTGTTGTCACTCTGAAGAATGACTGTCGAGTCTTGGGACAACATGGCTCTCGAGGATATGGCAGCTATCTCTGCAAACATCTTCAAATTGCAGTGCCATTTTCTCTGGTGGTATTCCCATGACCCTTTCACCATTTCGGTGTTTACAAGAGCTCCCCATTGAATGTCCGACGCGTCGGTGATAACGTGGATCGTGACCATTCTCTGAGGATGAATTGGTGTCCTCTGACTGATGTTCTCTGACCACCACTCCAGCTCTGTACGTACCTCGTCCGGATACTGCTTTTGTGAGTTAGGATACCTACTGATCTTCTTGTTGCTGCGGTACTGCAGGACTCGGCAATACAACCTTCCCCGGTAGGTGAGGGTGATGAAGGTCGCAAAGTTGAGGTGTTCTAAGAGGCATTGTGCCAGCGTTAGGTTTCAACTGCCGGCCGCAAGTCGCACGAGCAAATTCTGACGAATTTTTTGTATTTTGTCCAATAACAGGGACTTGCTGTTGGATTTGGTGTCCCATACAATTCCCAGAAAGTTTATTAATCTCGTCGGTGTCATAACCTATTTTTCCATGTTGACCCAACAACTTAAGCTGCGCAGAAAACGTATGACCATCTTTACTTGAGCTTCCAAAACGTCTCTGTCCTGGTGTACCGGCAGATAATCGTCTAGATAGACCACTAGTCGCAGACCGTTCTTGCGAAGTATTTCGGCTGTTCAGTTTGTTTCTGAAGCAAAAATCCTCGGTACTGCAGCAAAACCGAATGGCATACAAGTCATCTGAAGTAAACGACCCTGATAACTGATCCGGAGAATCCTTCTGTGCAGCTTTTTTATCGGTAGATGATAGTAGGCCTGACTTAAATCTATGAAATATTTTCTTTAGGCGCGATAACCTCGTCACTCATTATTAAGCGTTTGAGGTATTAAGAAACGGAAGACAAACAACGCTTGTTTGCAATTAACCAACTTTCTACTTTAAGTCAGAAAAGTTAATTATAACAACTAATAAAAGTATTAAATTTTAACTTTTTACGACTGCACTGGTTGAAAAACGACGCAACAATGACAAAATACGGCAGCTTGTCTTTGCCTGTGAGTTAGTTCCAGAAAGGAGTATAGAGGGCGCTGTAGGCGCGGTTTACGAAACGGAAGTAGAAAAATTTTGCGACCTGCAGCGGAAATCAGACGATGTACTCTCATAATGGACTTCGGGTGTCAACCGGAACACATAATACAAAATCCAACATTGCATTCGCGAAAATACAGTCATAGAAAACAGTATTTTATTTTCGTTTATTTATATCTTTTACGGCTTTATATGTTAATATTCAGCAGACTAAAATTACAATAAAAATTTAGTTTTTGATACGATTTCGATACATTTCGATCATCAGATCAAAATATATAGGCTAAAAATATCGATGTATTTAAAAAGATATCGATATTTTTTCAGCATCCCTAGTGGTTGGTAACATTCAAAGAGTAAAGTTTTTTTCTCTACGATTGTGGCATTCTAGCCCTTAAGCCAATGACAAGTAAAAGGAAGGAAACAGTGGTTTTGTTGAAATAAATTTATTTCAACAGGAGTAGGAAGCGGAATTTGAAAAAGGAAAATAATCGAGACATACATAAATACAATGTGGTAAAGTATTATTAATTACAGAATATTTATTTTTAATTTAATCATAAAAAAATTTTAACGTTAAAAAAATCCGTAACTAAAAAAATATTTTTCAAACAAACTAATTAAGTAAAAAAGAAACAAAATTTGTAACACCTATACAACTACAACTGACTGATTCATACATTCCGAGACTTTATCATTCGTTGCCACAGCTTCGCTTTACAAGCCTCTCCTTCTAACAGTATGTTTTGTCTCTTTTAAATTCATTCAACCCGGCTTATGCTTTGTGACCTTTACAAATGAACTTTACGTTAGTTTTATACATAAGGGTGTTCTAAAGTTCTTTGTTTTGGAAAATTTAACAACTCGGTAAATATTGATGTTTAAAGAAAGTAAATGTTTAATACAATTTTAAAAAGTTATCCTCTATATGTGTGTTCATTTATTGTCGCGATAAAGACACGCTGTATATAACCCTATTAACCAAATTATACTATAGTTTTATAGCATTTTTCTGAATAAATGAAGCTAATATTTTATATACACAAGGCTCGTTATATGACAAAAAGAATGGTATATTAATAGGAAAAGGTATCCGGAGCAATAGGAGATCAGTAAAAAGAGAGGAGCGGTCATATAATGGACAAGAAAGAAAAATATGGTTCAAATTACCTTCTTCCGTTCCACAAGCATATAAAGGAATATCTACAACATGAATCTTAAACAGAAAAGGCGAAGAACAGCAGTGACCTAATCGCAAACGAGTTAAAGAACTAGTACAATATTTATTTAAATTGACTTGAGTGTACCAAGGCTTATTTGGAATTGTCGGTTGAATTGATTAGTAGAATTTTCCTTTCACTAGGCTAGGAGATATCCAGTAATGTTCCCAAGACTCTTTCAAATATCGCTTCGACAAGAAAAGAAGATCGTGACAATAATTAGTGTAGGGATATATGCCACTGCTTAACACGGCTTCATTTGCTAACTCGTCTACCTTTTCATTTCCTTTAATGCCGTTATGTTCGGGAATCCATGCAAAGACTACTGTAATGTTTCCAACTTGGCGTTTGTATAACAATTTTCTTATTTCTAATATTATAGGTTATTGGCTTTTTGATTTAAGCGGAAAATGTGCTAATGTTTGTAAAAAACTTAGAGAGTCCGTAAAAATTATAGCTTTACATAAGTTGGCTAATAATATATATTCTACTACGCGAAATAGACCGAAACATTCCCCAGTAAATACTGATGATTCGGGAGGTAATTTAATTTTTTGTACAATATTACACTGAGAATGAAATACTCCAACCCCAACACAACTATTATTGGTATGTTTAGAAGCATCACTATATATATATATTGCCAATTCTCCCAGTTATTTTCAATGATGAATTTGAAAGCTGTATGAATTTCTATTTCATCTTTTTTAATTCCAATATTGAGTTTTATGGAGGGTGTAAGAGTCAAGATTTTATAATCGGTTTCAAACAGGGAAAGAGTTTTAGAACGATACATAGGGGCTTCAATAGCAAGATATTTTTGGTAAATTTTAACAAGACATGGTAATTCCTTGTGTTTTCAATATGAAGATGAATGAATGACTTGACATAAAAGAGTAAAGTTAAATGTTATCTATATGGTTATGGTAACATTGCTCTAGCAATTGCTAGCAAGCTGTCAACTATGTACGTGTCATAGTTTGTATAGTGTCATATTTTTTAACATCTGAATACAAAAATTCTTTAGTATGTTGAATCATACAGAACCCCGTGATAAATATTTTTAAAAGAATTTTATAAAAACAATTATTTATACCGATAGGACAATAATTTCATACAATAACAAGGAGAAATTATATGACGGTAATCTACAATTTTTTATGATAAAACGAAAGAAACACCTAACAAATGTCTAATCAAGAAGAAATCAAACGTGAACACGTTTGTCAAGAAATTAACAATACACCTGAAAATGAAGAACAGTCTAGCACAAAAGATGTTGCTATGGGTAGACCTAGTGACAATGATGTTGTAGGCAAGGATGATAAAACCGTTAAACATGTTGAAAGCCCAAGGACATCAAAAGGAAAAAATGCCAAAAAAAAAGAGAAGAAGAAAAGCATGCATTTAGAAATGCCAGTAATTGCTGTCCCACCTCCTCAACCTCAAGTACAAACTCCAGCCAATGACAGACCACAAAATGGGTTTATTTCAGTCCAGGAGTTATTTCTCCATCAAGGAGGATCTTTGTATGTATCTAACTCAAAATATTTAGAGAACCTATCCCGTCTTCCACAATATCAATACATGCAAAGTAGCTTTGTGAATATAATTCAGACTCAAGCTGGGTCTGTTTTAACTCCTGGTAGTTTACCAAACTCGCCATTATCACATATGAATTGCATGTTGCAAGCTTGGAGTGCACCAAACTCGCCACTCACTACTAGTCCTGTCTCACCTAGGTATTTGCAGAATGTATTGCAACATCCACTGCTTAATCAATCATATGTACGGTGTAATAATAACTTTCAACCCAGACATGATCTAAGATCAGTACCCATGAATATGGATAAAAAGAAAAAAAAAAGCAAAAAGAAAGATCTTGATGAAAAAAATTTTGAGCCATATTTTACTATAGACATGGTTGAGGCTGGTTTAAAAGAAAGCACTTTAATTGAAGGTGTTGTGAGAATAAATCCTAAACAGTTCCAACACTCGTATATATCCAGCAGTGATCGCAGTGAACAGGATATTTTTATAGATGGTATTAAAAACAGGAACAGAGCACTAGAAGGTGATGTTGTTGTTGTACAATTATTACATCAGAGTGAAGAAAGTACTGAAGAAATAAAGCAAAAGAGAGGAAAAGTTGTTTTCATTAAAGAAAAGGTTCATGCTAGAACTTGTATTGGTCATTTAAAATTGATGCCCGATAAAAGCAGAATGAAAGCATTATTTGTGCCGAGGGATCACAGAATTCCCAGACTTAATATACCATTCACAAGTTGGCCAGACAATTTTTATACAGAAGCAAAAAAATATGAAAACACACTATTCTTAGCTAAAATCGAAAATTGGGATGACACAAGATTTGCTTTAGGTAAAATCATATGTAACATAGGTCAATCAGGAGACATGCTGACAGAGTCCAAGGCAATTCTAGCACAAACTGATTTAGATGTAACTCCGTTTGGACAAGAGGTAAGAGATCTCTATCCTCGCTTGGATTATGTCATACCTGAGAGTGAAATACAAAAAAGAGAAGACTGTCGTAAATTGTGTATTTTTAGTATAGATCCTGCAAATTGTAGGGATATTGACGATGCTGTGTCATGCAGAAAACTAGACAATGGTAATTACGAAATTGGTGTTCACATTTCTGATGTTACTCATTTTTTGACTGAAAATACTATTTTAGATGAAAAAGTAGCAGAAAAGGCAACTACTGTTTATTTAGTAGAAAAAGCATACCATATGCTTCCTGATGATTTGTGTATGCTTTGTTCCTTGTTTCCTGGTGTGGATAAACTTGCCTTTTCAGTTTTTTGGGAGATAAGCCATGATGCAAATGTATTGAATCATAGATTTACTAAAAGTGTCATTCATTCTTGTTGTCAGTTAACCTATGATCAGGTACAAGCTGTTTTAGATGACAAAAATGATGCTGAGGCATCTTTCCCAGAATTTTACAATGGATTTCAATATATAGATGTGTATGAGTCAATAAAAATACTTGGAAAGATTTCATCAATATTCAGACAGAGAAGATTTGAAAATGGAGCACTTCGCATAGATCAACCTAAGGTTTCTTTTCATTTAAATCCCTCCTCCAGTTTACCTGATGCTATCTGGATATATGAAAGTAAACAGAGTCATCAGCTTATTGAAGAGTTTATGTTGCTTACAAATATGACTGTAGCAAGGAGGATTTATGAAGACCACCCCAATTTAGCATTTTTGAGATGTCATCCACCTCCAAGTAGTTATATGCTGCAACAACTAGCCAAATCATTAAAGCCTATGGGTATTGATTTAGATATTACTTCATCTGGTACTTTATATAGATCTTTGTTGCAATATGTTGGCCCTGACAATGCAGATCAAGGCAAGGCAATGGTCCTCAATATGCTGTGTGCAAAACCAATGACAAGAGCAAAGTATTTTTGTGCTGCTGGCTGTGATGATGATGACTTTCGCCATTATGCTCTAAACATTCCTCTGTACACACATTTTACTAGTCCTATTCGACGGTATGCTGATATTATGGTGCACAGGTAATTTTCATATCCAATAACTGTATTAACTTGATTAAGGATGTTATAGTTTATATTTAATCTCATCAAATAACAATTTACTAATGTTTTTGTCAAATACTACTTTTGATCCGACTATTACTTTAAACTTCACTATAATATTCAATAATATTTTCGCTGAATGTTTATGATTTTTTTCTATTTTACAATGTCATTTTCCTGCTTTCTAAAACATCTTAATAAACTTCGCCCTACCTCTTAACCCTTAATTGTAAAATATCTTTAACAAAGCTTATAACTTTCCAGACTGTTATCAGCAAGCTTAAATTATGAAGAAGTACCTAAATGGGAAGTTCATAAAGTACAAAAGATAGCTGCACAATGTAATAAACAAAAATACAATGCTAAAAGAGCAAGTGAATTATCAACAGAGCTTTACACATTAAAATATATCGAGATGAATTCTCCACTCATCACAGAAGCAGTTGTTGTTGAAGTTAGAGAAAAATATATTGATGTCACCATAGTTGCTATGGGTTTAAACAGAAGAATTTTTTTTAATAATGTAAGTTATATAATTCTTCAGCATTTTTAAATCAAGGTTTCCTATTCTATATACAATTCCTAAAATATTCATAATATTTAATACAAGTAGCATATTCATGAATAGCTTTTCGCCCGCGACTCTGCCCTCACGTACTACATTTCATATTGTGCTTAAAAAGTACTAACAGAACCCATTGTGCGTGAGTAGACTCGCACTTTTCTGATTTTTTTTAACTTTATATAAACATACAATCATCATCATTATGTAGACCAAAATATATATTGAACTATAGTTTTATCCAATTAAATTATAGCCATTATATACAATTTTATCACACATACCTTCATTTTTTTGTTTTTGAACCAATTTAAATAAATGTAACACTAAATGTTAAGTGAAGCTATGTGTAGTAGATTCATTAGTGAATGTTGCCCCGTAATCGGTTAAGCCGTTCCTGAGATTAGCATGCACAGAAAAACGGATAAACAGACAAAAATATTAACAATCATTAATTTGGCTTCTACTGCTTTGATAAAGGCCCCCCAATAATAGTATTTCTCAAATATCTTCCATGTACAGACAACAATCAGTTACATTTTTATTTTATGTATAGATTAAAAGAAATGTTAACTTTTTTTTTATTTTTTTTTATGCGAAAAGTTGTCAAACGAGCAGACGGTTCACTTGATGTTAAGGGAATACCGCCGCCCATGGACATCTGCCACATCCGAGGGTTACAGATGCGTTGACAACCTTTTGAAAATTGGGCTCCGGCTACCTCACTCACCAGACGAAACGCGAAAGTATTTGTTATACTTCCACTTTACGCCGGTCTTCTGTGAGGTCGTGGTACTTACCCGGATGGGCCTGCCCATTTGTGCAACAGCCGAGGCTGCTGTGTGGCCCTACCACCATATGAATTGAATGAACCTATGAATTCCAAATAGGCTGGACTAACTGTGATGAAATTTTCGTAGCAATAGGATCAATAGAAATTCATTTTTAGTATTTATTGCTCCCCACGTGAATTACTCTCAATAATGATTCATTGAATTTATGATAAATGCATGAGCTAATAATTGGGCAAATATCATTAGGGTAAAAATTTTTTTTGATTTCACAGGACTTCCCCGGAGAACACAAATGTATTAAGAATGATGCTGGTTTGAAGCTCTCCAAAATGGAATTATTGTGGAAAGCAAAAGATTTACCTGATATAAAACAAGTTATAGAAGTATTTTCAATAGTAAAAGTAGAGTTAAATAGAGATGAAGATATGATAAAGGTAGAGACTAAATTAGTAAAACCTATTTGAATTTCACTCAAATAAATAATTTTTTAATCATTATCACTTTTTAATAATAGACATTTTGAATTACAAGTATGTAGTCAATAGCTGCAGCTATTGTTGTAATGTATTTTTTTATATACAAAATTACATTTTTATATTACAATGATGGTTTACACACATTTGTAAGAAATAAATTAATCCCAAAAATTTATATTTATATTTGGACATTTGACTTATTATGTTTTTGAATGGTTTTTTAATATGATGTATAGATGCAGTGTTAAATTTTAAATTCTTTAATAAAAGAAATTAATTGTACATGAATTTATTCAATTTATAGATTTTAGTGTACATTAGTTAGTTGACTCTTAAACACAATGTGTTAAATTAAACTTGCACAAATAGCATTTTATTTAAATAGTATTATAATTTACAATAAAAAACTTCTTGACATAGGAAATCATCTCTCCATTTTATATTGATGTCTAGTGTTATTTCTAAGCTGTTCATATTAGATATGATAGACATAATTATATTGTGTGATTTGATGTTTGCCACCAAGTACAATGTTATAATAATTAAGTTTAAGACGCAATGCTCAATCAGAGAGCAGTTTATGAAATAAATATGGACTCATAATACATTTTTTTTGTTTTTGTACTGCCTTGAAGACATATAAAAAATTATTTTATTCTATTGCTATGATCATAATCATTAATTGGTTAAAACCATGGTCCCATCCTAGTAGTAACAGAAATAAATGGTGTTTTAATATAATTAATAAAAAATTACCATAAAGTCTATCCCTTAACATTTATTGAAACCAGTATGCCTTCTTTTGGCATAAATCAATGATTGTACATGAGTGTAGTAACCAGGGATTATTATTAATATATTAGAGATTGCACAGCTGATAAGGTTGTTTATTTTTAGAACTATCAAACTTGTATTTGTTATTTCAATTAATAATTACACATTTTATCAACACACGAAATTGATTTTAACTTTTTTGTTAATTTTAAAATTTTAATAAACCAACTATTAAGAACTAAAAAAATCTTATTTTATTATGAAGGCGTCACACGTTGTATTATGGATTGTATGAACAGAACAATCCGAAGACTATCTTTATTTACTTCATCTTTTAATGAACCTGTGAAAAAGCTAGTTTCTAGAGGGATGGAACCAAAACTAATACCTAAACAGTGGCGGACTAACCTGGTGGCGGACTAACATGGTGGCGGAAGGGGCGGTTCGCCCCGGGCTTCCGGTCCTGGGGGACGCCCAAATGCCTTTATGTTCCCTTTCAAAAATTCATAATTTAACGTAATGTAAGACTTTCATAATTTGATTCATGTTATTGTCATTATTAACCGGATTGTTATAATTAATTAAATATTAAGTAAAAAAGCCAGCCAGGTGCGAGTCGGTCTCGCGCACGAAGGATTCCGTACCAATATCAATAAAAACGGCAAAAATATCTCATACACAGAAATACATCATCGATGAAAATATCGACTCTCTAAACATCACGGTTCATGAGATACAGCCTACAGACGGACAGACAGACCGTCTTCGGAGTCTTAGTAATAGGGTCCCGTTATATCCTTTGGGTACGGAACCTTAAAAAAATGACAACGCTTACTAAATGTATATTATTTTAAATGTATTTTATAGTTAGCCGTGTTCATATATTGATATGTTTTTTTAATACCCATGTTATAATTAGAACATAATTGAGCTTTTAAATATACCCAAAAACTATTTTCCGTGTCATCTTCACTAAATCATTGGTTGTTAAATAATCTAGAAACTGAATAACGAGAAAATTAATGAAGACGATAGAGCAAAACTAAAAACGTTGCAATTTTTTTGACAGAATAAATGTAATTAATATCATTGCGAACTACGGTATCGAATTTCAGAGGTCATTAGGGGTGGAAAAAATTGAACAGCCAATATTGGCAGTGGCAAATTTGTAAATCCGCCACTGATGCACAGCCATCCCAACATCTTCCCATGTTAATTTATTTTTATTTGAAGTTTTTTGTTGTTTTTTGTAGATTTTAATGTTCGCTGTCGAAGCAGATGAAAAACTACCGAGGTGAGTTGTGGTAGCGGCATATCGATGTCGGAGGTGAACATTCTACACCTCTCCATCTCCTGAACTGACAGCTATCGCTGTAACTAACAGAGATCGTATAGCCACTTATTAACGGGGTGCATCTGCGTTTGTTATAGTTCAAACAACCTTGATGCTGAAAAAGATCTGCGCTCACCACAACAATTAAGATAGCATAAGACCTAAAGCAAGAACTTGCCTGTCGCAATAGCTTCAATACTGGTGAACAGCCTCAAAGAAACAGAAAAATAGCACCACAAGTCTTCTGATCGACGTAGCACTGTAGAACAACTTTGGAGCCCCAATAATGGCGGCCAGGCTATGTGAAGCCAAAAAGATTTTTCTCATTGGTGACATGAATCAGCTACCGTTTATAGATAGAGAAAACCTCTTCTCAATGTTGTACAAGCAGCTGAGTCCCAACGCCACCGTCTAATATTTCTGTGAGTCCCAGCGCTGGACCTCGGCTGGAGCTAGGTCTAACATGACACATTTATGTCACTATCTAATGTTTGGCCAGCTGTTGTCTCTAAGCACGATGGAATTCCAAAATCGGTTTTAAAACAGTTGCCTAAGCATTGTATAGATGCCATAGCGCGTATTTTTAATGGTATCCTCTACACAGGATAGGCACTTCCCGGACATCTGGACAACCGGGCTTGTAAAAAGTTTTTCCATGTCATCGTACGTGAAGTTAAGAAACCAAGTTGAATCTTTTTGGCTTGTCTCCCATTGCAGTTTTGTTATAATCATGTCTATAACAAAGTTGTGAAGTTTTGTGAAAAATTGTAGAAATACATTAATTTTAATTTCTTAGCGATAGCAGCCGTGATAGCTCAGTGTCCGGGCGCTCGCCTTTAATTCAATATACTCGAGCAACCAGAGTTCGATCCCCGGTGCCGGCACCAATGAAGTTTTTAACTTTAAGTGCTGACTCATCACGTGCTCCGCGGTGAAGGAAACATCGTGAGGAACCTGCATATTTTCGAAATAATAACAAAAAAAAATATTTCGAAGATATGTGAAGTCCGCCAATCCGCAGTGGGGCCGCATGTTGGACTATGCCCTGATACTCACTGTATAGAGGAGGCCTTTGCCCAGCAGTGGGACATGTATAGGCTGTTACTTTACTTTTACTTTTTTAGCGATAGCAGACACAATTAATACAAACGTAGTTAGCATCGACGTCATAATTCACACTTAATATTTCTTAATGTTTACATAAATCAATATTAAGTGTTAACGTTGCGCGATTTATTCATTTTTCTATTAAAGACGTTTATGATCTTTGTATTGGATGACGTAGTTAAAATCTCGCGTTATCACAATACTGTCGATATAAGAGTAACGTTACCCGCGGCGACAATGCGCCGGTCATGGGGTTCGATTCCTCGATACCCGTAACTGCACCTGTCTGAGCATTAGTACAGTGTAGATGAGTCCGTACGTGACGGGTAGACAATTTGGAAAAAAGACGTGAGAAGCGACTGCAGTAATTTAATTGACATGTCACACACAATACAGGCGGCGTACAAGGCATCCGATATCTCCAAATAAATTCGGCGAGACTAAAGGCCCATTTACACGATGCCATTTTCTTGAACATACAAGAGCAATAATTGAATGCAATAAATTGCGCGCAATAATTGTTTAGACCATTTCTTGTTTAGACCATGCAACTCATTTATTGCTTCAATTTAATTGTATACAACAGGCAAGAAACTGGCACCATGTAAATGGGCCTTAAGAAATTATTGTGTGTGCTGTTTACACCAAGGAAAGTTTTGAAACAAAACTTGAAGCAAGTCTTGTTCAATAGTCAAGAATGTTATGTGCTGTTTAGACAATGCAACTCATTTATTGCTTCAATTGTAATTGTATATAACAGGCAAGAAACTTGCACCGTGTAAATGGGCCTTTACGCAACTTCAATACAGCTCGTATTAAGGGAGATATACAGCGGAACCTAGGATCAAGTCTTTGCCAGAGATCTAATCGATCTCTAGGGTCTATAGAACAAAGTCAACTAAGTTTAAATTTGACGGTGGGGCTATTGTCTCCAGTAGACCAGAGGTTTTGAGTGAGCTTGAGTGGTTCACATCGTCGTTAGAACACGTGTGATTAAAGGCCCATTTACACGATGCCATTTTCTTGTACATACAAGAGCAATAATTGAATGCAATAAATTGCGCGCAATAATTGTTAAGACCATTTGTTGTTTAGACCATGCAACTCATTTATTGCTTCAATTTAATTGTATACAACAGGCAAGAAACTGGCACCGTGTAAATGGGCCTTAACTACCAAAGAGCGAAGCTTGTCCGACACTGTTCCGAAAATATCCCGGACGTCATTCTTAGCGAGATTAGAATGGGTCCTAACCATCTTAATATCAGATTTACAGCCGAGCTTCAGGAAGCGGTTGGAGTACCAGTACTTATAGTCCTTCAGACGCTCTTTAATTCTGTCCATCAGGATGGTGCTACACCAAAGGTGTGGAGCAAATGTGTGGTGGTGTTGTTCTTCAAAAAAAGTGACAACGCTGTCTTGAAGAACTATAGATCGATATCCTTCTGAATCGTGTCTATGTACTGTTTTTGAGCCATCTTGACCAGTGACGATAATCGGGCGCGCTCAACTAGTCTTCCCCGTAAAGTGGTTAATATGAGTACTTTATTGTTTGATTACACACTTTGATAATAATCACATACAATTAGAACTTTAACATTAAATTCAATAAGTATATAAATTCAATAATTATACCCCATTGCGCTACTTATATATGAAATGTGATCTTATTCTGTTTCTTTTTAAGTCCAGCTGCATTTTACAAACAGTAGGAACGACACAAGACGCCCCATGCAAGACAGACTAATGTTAATTCTACGGGATTGGCTAT